CACTCCGGAATCCAACCCGGCGCTAAATGCAAACCTACTCACTTATTGGTAGATTTTTGCCATGCCCCCAAATTTTCTCTGCTTCTTACTGTCCCTCACAAAAATATTTAACCAGAAGTCTTTACACGTCTTCCAGACGATCAGAAAAATGACAAATGTATTACCAAGTGAACACCCTAATTACCTCCGTTGACTTTTTCGCCATATCATTGGTCGGCAAACATCTGTGACCAGTAAGACGACGTTACGATGTGCGGTATGATGATATGCGCAGCTAAAATGAACAATTTTTTTTAATAATTTCAGCAGAAACTGTCCCAAGAGGGCACGTTGCTGGTATTCTTACTTGCTTGTACATTTTATCTGCGAACCTCGGCATACTTTTTTTTTTACGAAATTTAGTTTGTATAGATAATTGCCTGCTGGCACTAACAAATACAACTTTCAAATTACAACCAAATCTTGATTACACTTTTCTCAGTTTTTTAATGGAACATTATCAAAGAAGGCTTGCCCATGCTGCTGGTCGTCGCATTTTCATTCTCATAAAATCTGCATTTCACATTGAGGACAGCTAAAATATGCGTAAGGTTGTCTGTGGATTAGACGTTCATTTTGGAAGTTAACAGTAGCATGCAGCACAGACTCTCGTAGCTTAAATAATTATATCACGCAAATAATACATTAAACGCAATCACTTCGAGGACTACGTACGCTAATAAGACGTCTTATCATTATTGCAGAGTCCTAAGAACAATCCTCCAATTCAGCTTCTCCATGTCAGTTCTACGAGTTGTCCTCCGGTGAAGGAAAAGGATGTTAACACCAGCTCCACTCTCGAATCCAAATACGACCTAGTGGTAATGGTCAAGTCCGCAGTTTACAACTTCCAGGACCGTCAAACATTCCGCAGTCTGTACGCCCGAATCAACGACCTCAGTGAACACAGCGCATATCCTCTCCGAATAGGCATCGTCTTTCTCGTTGGTCTGCCCAGACGATCTGGCAATGCGACATTCGAGCGTGACGGATTTAACGTGACTCTCGCCAATCGAGCAGGAAGGTCCCTCAAATACATCGAACACTTACATCCTCTCATTCACCGACATGTGAAGGAAGAGATATTGCAGTATGAGTATCTCCTGGTAGTATAACTTAAATTTTGGCATAGTATACGTAATCCTATGCCGAAAAAAAACTCATAAACATTTTTTGAACACAAGCAAGTCGTGTTTCGATAGAG